TCCCTTTTCAGTACAATAATATTTGTATAGAACTCTTAACACGTACCTCCAAACAAAGCATAAACACCCTGTGACAAGAATAGCTACAATAGCATGCGCCCATGGTTTGTTGGCTGGTGAATTGCAGCCTGGAAATGTTATTTTCATTCAACACAATTTGGGGCGCATACCACAGCTAAAGTATCCATCCAAGTACCCAAGAACAAGCACCAAAAATCAAATTTATTGCTGGGTCGTATGTAAGGTATTCGCAGAGCTTTTAAGAGAAATTTCCTCTTACTCAAGGAAGTGTGAAGTAGGATCATATATGGCTTTAAAACAAAACGAAGAAGTCAACAAAATAGCAAAGGTAAAAAACATTTCTTTAAAAAGTTACAAATTGTTCAAAAAGTCTACTGTGACTACTTCCGTTATTGAATTTGTGATGATCGTTCTTCTGATGAAGACATATCTCTGGTTGTTGGCAATTCTGATTCAAGATCAACATTGAACAATGGAACCTCTGCTGCCCTATGCAATGATGAAAATAATGTGGCCTCAAATAAAATGAGCCCGATCTCTGAGCAGCTCAACCTCTACGACGACGACACGTTAGATGACTTTTGTGTTTTGGTTGAAAGAAATGGTAACAGGGACGGCAAACAAGTGCGTCTTAACTCTGACCCCTTCTTTTCCGATTAACAATGCCCAGAATTCCAATAATTTCTTAAAAAACAACGACTTCACCTCCAAACGTGCAAAGGCATACAAATGTAAAAAGAAATTCGGTTCGGAATTCGGTCTCCCAATCTCTTGGTACCAATTCTTAAACGCTGCTTCAAATGCGGCAGATTTGGTCACACTGATAAATACTGTAAGAGCAAAGAAACCTGCTGTCTTATTGGTGGTAAATCTTCAGCAAGCTTGCCGGGTACCTACACTAGTTTTTGAGAAAAGTGACGTGCTCATTACATTGGAAAATTTGATGACATGATAGCAGTTTTAAAAGATGGCTGGTTCTTTACCACCTTTGGCTCATGAAGTCTATTCATTTGGATGTTAAAAACAACATAGCCATTATTTCTTGTTGGCCCTTAGGTATACAGATTAAGGCTTAAGCAGCCGACGTATTAATGATAGTAATTGTCTCTGTGATCGAAATTCATTTTTAATTTTCTGATTGAAATTAATTTTTCCTCTCTTTGTACCCTAAACCACTTGGGCTGCAAGGATATTTCAAGTTTGTGCGAATGTATACAGCACCTTCTATATGTCGATTAGAATCACTTGTCTGTCCGTCGGAACATCTTGGATCCTACGGGCCACTATTTTTGAGATATTTTCTTACGTTTTAGCGCACCGACGTGTTTAGGCCTTTGGAAGGACGCTATTAAAGACGGTTCGGATCGTGCCGCTTATTCAATCACGTCCCATATAACGCCGTATTTTGAAAAGTCATTATTTGAGTATCCGTATTAAGAGAAGCGATTTAGAAGCATTTAACATCAAGCCGCGCCACTCTACGGTGGTTTCACTTATTTTCAAATCCAATTTTAAATTTGATGGGAATATACTTATTTCATCCCAGCGTTTGCGCCAATTAGGAGAGCGCTAAGTATATATATTATGATCAGCATCAAATCCAGAATTCTGTCTGTGCGATGTATGTCCATTTATTTTATAGCCAATGTACGGCTCGCATTTTTCAAATAGTTTGCTCAAATTTGGTACGCTGGTGTATTTTTGCTAAGGGACGAACCCTGTTGAAAATGAACTGACTCTCTCATCCGCCTGATTGGCCTACTAGGCAAGAGTCTCGACTAACCTATTCATTCAATGTTCATGGGTTCAAATCTCAGGTGCGGTAGAGTTTTTAATAAAGCCGAAAGCCTTAGATGCTAGTGCTTTAAGACTTTTAGTCTTGAAATTTATTCTCCGGTTAAATTTATAATAATAATAATGAATTAATATCTCAACAAGAATCGCTAATTTATAGCATGTCGGCTTACTAAATAGGAGTGAGACATTTGGATAGCATGGGAGCCCTCTCCCATGTAATCGTTCCTATCTTCATATGACAAAAGGTCTAATATTGAACATTTTGAGTTTATAATTTAACAGGAAAGTTAACGGTAGTAAATTTGAATCAGGCAGGTCTGCTTTTACCCATCCCTTACACGGATTCCTATGAAAAATCCGAGCCGAGGATAGTAAATTGACAAAAAAAACTACCCTGCCGAAACCATTCAACATAAAAATTGTTATGAATAGTAAGCTTTGTGATAACAAGATCTAATTTTTAATGCTTTATGGTGAAAACTGCTCCATAATAACAATTTAGCACAAAAGTCAACCGTAGGAAATTTAAACAACATAGCCACATTTTTATGAATAGTTTGCCTTTACAATAAAACGAAGTGTAAATTTTGAATGTATTATGACGAAAATGAATAAGCCGTTGTGTAATAATGGTCAGCATAACCCGACTATAACGTGTTTGTTTTATTTGTTTTTGATACAACAGTTGTTGTTCTACAATACAGTATTGGAAATAGTCGACTAGCACGATTACATCGCTATGTTAAACACACTTTTTCTTTTCTTAGTTCCCATCACATTGTCGCCATATTGAAACATTGTCACAGTATTGAAAGCTTATTGTCATCGTTCTACAATATTTTAAATCTAGCTATTGCTGCATCTGTTCCGATCAAGCATTATCGACCTCGAAGCAGATGTCCCCCGTGGTTTAATAGGACAATTAAATATTACATGAACAGAAAAAACACTCTATTCAAAAAATATTCGAAAAGTGGCTCTACTCTTGGCTATTTCGCTTACTCCGTGGCAAGGCATAGATTTAACTCCCTCAACCACCATTATTATTGCAGATACCTTCAGTTCATTAAATTTTCTCTGTTTGCTAATCCTAAATATTTTTTTAAATTTGTTATCTCAAAAAGAAAAATTTCTACACATCCCTCGCATGTTTCTTTTAGTGGGTCTGACTCCTCGGATGATTTTGAAATGTCAAATCTGTTCGCTGAGTACTTCCGTCGAAACTCTTCGACTGCTTATTCCGATTTGTCGGCAAAGTACCCATATCCTATAAATGACTTGGTTTCAATTCCTAATTTGGTTATTTCGGAAGATGACGTTTTTAAAGGGTTGAGCTCTCTAAAATACAGTTGTTCGCCTGGACCTGATGGAATTCCGTCATGTGTACTTAAATCTTGCGCTGTCGAGTTATGTGGTGTGATCTCAAAGATTTTTAACATGTCCTTGTATTTAGGTGTTTTCCGTTCGTGTTGGAAGAGTAGTTTCCTTATTCCTATCCACAAGAGTGGAAGTAGACAATTTGTTGAGAACTTTGCCATTAATTCGTATATTTCTCCGCACCAGCACGGCTTTCGGAAAGGACGATCTACAGTCACCAACTTGTTAGAGCTTACTTGTCACGTTTTGAAGGCTTTTTCTAGTGCCTCTCGCACAGATGTTATATGCATTTTGATATGGTTAACCGTAACTAACTCTAGAATCGCAATCACATCAGCTTCAAAGTGACTTGAATAATGTGGTTGCATGGTGCTCTTTGAATCTTCTGAAACTAAATCTAAATAAATGTAAGAAGCTTTCTTTCTCAAGCAGAAAGTCATTCATTACTCAGTATTTCATTGATTCGCTTAAGTTGGAGGACATCGATACGTTCACAGATTGAGGCGTCCTGTTTGATCATAGATTACGTTTTAGCTTGCACATTGAGCTCTTGTTAAGCAAAGCTAGGTCCGCGCTTGGTTTTATAAAGAGGTGGTTCAAAGAGCTTGATGATCTTTACATTGCCAAAAGGCTGTACATGTATTTGGTTAGACCTATAATTGAGTATACCTCTGTTGTGTGGTCTCGTTCATATAGGTGCTAAGTAGATTCAATTCAATCTGTTCAAAATCAATTCTTGCTGTTTGCCAATAGAAATTTGGGTTGGGATCCGATTGCCTCTCTTCCCTCATGTGAAAATAGGTTGCTTCTGTTGTCCTTACCGTCTGTCGAGAAACGTAGATTTGTTCTTGGCGTTTCCTGCGTAATCAAAGTAATAAATGGTGCTATTGACTCGCCCGTATTACTTGGTGAAATAAGCTTTAACGTCCCCAACCGCTTCTCTAGGTACTTTATCTTGGTTAATCCTAGTCAATGTAAATATAATTATGCGCTTTTGAACCCGCTCAGCGTTGTTTGCATGAACCTAAATGATGTCTTTCACTTATTCTCATTATCGGAATCTTTAAAGTCCACTAAAGCAACACTGCTTAATGCGCGTAATTTACCTATGTCGTAATTAAACTAGCTCATAAAATATCACGGTGAGTAGAAAATCAATTGTTGTTAACTGATATCGGTTGCCAAGCTTATGCTTGTTTGCAATGGCTTAGGGGTTCATTCGCAATTTGGTCCTGCACCGGTTGTGGATGTGGCTCTATGCTAGTTGTTTACATGCTTTTTTTCTTTTTTTTCCTTCTTATTTGTTTTATTATACTTATACTAAGTTTTAATATTGATTAATTTAAGATTTGCTCTAAGAGTCAATTGAACTCGACTGTCAAAATTTTTAGTTGAATTTCTTGTATAAGTGGAATAAATAAATAAATAAATAAATAAAACTCTATTTTAACGCGAATAATTTTTAAATAAATATCCTAACTTGAATTTCACATTAGGACTTTAAATCAATTTATATAAATCGTATTGATTTTAAATCTAGATTGAGCTGTTATTTTTATGGTATTCTAAGGAGGAAGTAAATTACAATCAATTAAAAAAATAATCTACCTGCCACACTTCAAAATGCAAATATTAACGGCTTGAAAATTAATTTTTGTAAATTAACAGCGCTTCAATTATAACATATTTACGTCTATGTTTTTAAAAAGTAGAGTTTGTTATTTTCACATCAGTATGCTCAAGTTATCACCCATTATGCACTACTGATTGACAACTAAATCGATTTTTCTTACAATTGACAAAAAAACGAGAAGTTATTCCAAATAGAATGGATTTTATAGCTATTAAAATATTTTACAATTGAAAACAAGAAACCTATCTTGGAAGTACTTGCATTACTGCCTGCTGCATAAGGTAAAACCACCTAACTTTTGTGCTAAACAGATTTTGTCCTAATTATAATTTGTTTTTATGTATCCAAAACAGCATTGATTTCGTACTTTACATGTTGAAAATGTGTCTTCTCTTCAATTACAGACAAAATACGAACTTTTTGGGTCTGGTTAACTGAGATCGCAGTATTCCTAATAATGTTGTTTCTAAGCGGTATGCAGCACTACTTCGAAATTCACTAGCGTTTTGTGTTTGTATCTGTGCTGTGATTGTTTTTGCTTTGATCCACATATACCCGGACCCTCAAATTAAAAAGAAAAAATGTTCTCCATGCAACATAACAGTGGTAACAACACTGAAGGATATGATTTTAACAAAAGTGAGAATTCCGTTCGATGGCGAGGACTATTTACACCGTCGCTGAAAAAAGTATAGTCTTTTTAATTTTTTTTACCATTGTACCCGAGAAATAATGTCAAATATTTCAAGGTTTTGGATCAAGTGCACCCACGATTAACAGCCAAAGAAGAAGCCTTATTGTACGTAGAAACTTTATGTTTACGTATTCTGGCTATGCTATGTGCCAAACCTCTTCCACATACTGTGCAGGTATTACAAATCGATTTTTTTTACATTAGAGAAATAAAAATTTTGTATTCTAGGATGTTGAAGAAAAAGTACGCAAATATTTTCCATCACCCATTGATCGTTGGGCACTTAATGAAGCTAAGGAAACAGTGATATCAAAAAAGCGGAAGTCCGTTTTGCCAACAGATCGCGTGCATACTTTGCTGCAGAAGGTATATTGCAAATTAATCGAAATGATAAAATGAAATTAACCTTGAACTTTCCTTCTCCTACAGGATGTTCTTCAATATAAAATCGATAATTCAGTATCAATATTTTTAGTTGCCGTATTGGAATACATTTCAGCGGACATATTGAAGTTAGCCGGCAATTATGTGCGTAAAATTAAGCATTGCGAAATATCGAAGGAAGATATCGAGGTGGCCATGTGTGCCGATAAAGTGTTGATGGATATGTTTTACCAAAGTGACAATAAGACCAATGTAATGCCTAGCCCTTTACCTAAGTTGCCAGTGCAGCGCACCAGCACAACTTACGAAGAAGTTGTTAAAGATTTAATTAACGATGAAAAACAATATCAACGAGATTTACATATGATCATACGCGTGTTTCGCGAGGAACTCGCTAAAATTGTGCGAAATCCAAAAGAACTAGACCCGATATTCTCGAATATAATGGACATTTATGAGGTAACGGTTACATTGCTGGGATCTTTAGAAGACGTTATTGAAATGTCGCAGGAGCAAAGTGCGCCCTGCGTAGGTAGCTGTTTTGAAGAATTGGCGGAAGCCGAAGAGTTTGATGTGTACACAAAATATGCCCAAGAGGTAACATCGCAGACGAGCAGAGATGCTTTATCAGCACTACTGGCTAGACCTGATGTAAGTTGTGTCAGAAAATAATGCTCCAGAATATACTTTTGTGCTATTTTATTGTTATATTTGTTTAGGCTATGTCGTTAATAGCAGCTGGTCATGGGTTTCGCGAAGCTGTTAAATATTATTTGCCCAAGTTATTATTGGTGCCAATTTTCCATGCTTTCATATACTTTGATTATATTAAAATACTAATGAAGTACAGCCCGTCACAAGATGATATAGAAAGTTTCGAGCAAGTTCAAGGATTGCTTAGGCCTTTACGTTGTGATCTTGAAAATATTATGGCGAATTTGCCGAAGTAAGTAAATAGAAACAATCATTTGTTCTTCTTTTTTTTTTATTCTATCGATGGAGGCTGGTGAAATCTTTCTAACGTTTTTCATATATTAAAAAAAAGCGGCATGGCACTTGACAAGTAAAAATCTGAATTCAATTCTGCAACCAATTTGCACATGTAACAATTTAGCGACATTGAATTTGACGTTTCCGCATGTAATGTTTTCCATAAGACATTTTCCTTAATTTCAACACGTAAAAGACAAAAAACTAGTTAAAATGTTAGCGTCCTCCGATTGCAAACTCTTTGTTATGCGAACGCCAGTTTCTCATTTTGATAGATGTTGTCAAAAGTGCTTTTAAAAAAACAGGTATATTCTTAAATGTTACGAAACTGTCGAGCGTCCATAAATCATTTATATTGCTTGTCCGTCCGAGCAGATGATCAGACATTGCAATGCCGATCCTGCTATCCAAGCTAATCAGGAATACATGTATCTATTTGGGATTTTCATATTTCACAGGTATAGTATGCCAGTTGCGATGCGTATAAACAAATGTTATATTCATAATTCTTGGAGAAAATTCCTCACTTAAGTCTTCTTTTATACTTCCAGGGAATCTTGCGTTTCCATAAGCAGTAGAGCTCGTCGTCAATTGGCTATTGAGCGTACCAGGGAATTACAGAACTCAGTGGAACATTGGGATAAAGATGTTGGTCAGAACTGTAATGAATTTATAAGAGGTATACAATCGAATATTTTTTAATATTTATTATAAAAGTAATTTTGTGCTTTACAGAGGATGTATTGGGAAAACTTGGTTCAGGCAAACGTGTTGCTGAACGAAAAGTTTATCTTTTTGACGGTTTAATGTTGCTTTGTAAGCCAAATACGAAAAGGCAACCAGCTTCGATTAATGCTCCCGTCTACGAATATAGGCTCAAAGAGAAATTTTTTATGCGACGTGTAGAGATAAATGATCGACCAGATACTGATGAGCTTAAGAATTCATTTGAAATTGCACCTCGCGTTCAACCTCCTATTACACTAACGGCTAAAAATTCTCAACATAAAAACGATTGGATGGCTGATCTCATTATGGTAAATACGAAATCTATGCTCGATCGCATTTTGGACAGTATTCTATTGGATATTGAAAAAAAACATCCCTTGCGTATGCCAAGTCCCGATATTTACAAATTTTCTGAAGCCGATAGCCCGGAAAATATTGTTTTGGAGGAAAGAGAAAGTGCAGGAGTACCCTTAATTAAGGTAAAGAAGAGAGTAAAAAAATAAAAAAAATTGTTTATGCAATAATATTTACAGGGCGCTACACTATGTAAATTAATAGAAAGGCTAACTTACCACATATATGCCGATCCGATGTTTGTACGCACATTCCTGACGACATATCGTTATTTTTGTTCGCCCCAGAACCTGCTATCGTTACTAATTGAACGTTTTAATATACCGGATCCTAGTTTGGTGTATCAAGAGAATCAACAAGCGAATGAAAAAGATCCTATGAGTTGCGACACAGATAAGATGCACAAAAACATACAACGAGAGGACTGGAAACGTTATCGTAAGGAGTACGTGCAACCAGTACAATTTCGAGTACTGAATGTGCTGCGTCACTGGGTAGATCATCATTTTTATGATTTTGAAAAAGATTCAACTTTGTTGGAGAAATTGTTACAATTTTTAGAAAGCGTCAATGGCAAATCTATGCGTAAATGGGTGGACTCCGTATTAAAAATTGTTCAAAGAAAGGTAAGAAAAAACGCGGTAGCTTTAACTTTAAAAAATCTCACAAAATTTTAAGCACTATTTATTGAAAAGTCAAAAGCTTAGGTTAAAAACTGTTACGCATCGTTCCATTGTATTTTTATTTCAGAGCGAGCAAGAGAAAAGTCACAAACAAATCACATTTGCTTATGGTCATAGTCCACCACCCATTGAACATCATTTAAATGTTCCGGACTCCGAAATTAACTTGCTCACCTTACATCCATTAGAATTAGCGAGACAGTTGACACTGCTGGAATTTGAACTGTACAAAAACGTCAAACCTTCCGAACTGGTGGGCTCACCCTGGACTAAAAAAGACAAAGAGTTGAAGAGTCCGAATTTGCTCAAGATTATGAAACACACAACTAATGTAACGCGATGGATTGAAAAGTCGATCATTGAGGCCGATAATTACGAGGAACGTGTTGCAATGGTGACACGCGCCATAGAAGTAATGATGGTTATGTTAGAACTCAACAATTTCAATGGAATTCTTTCCATAAGTGCTGCGATGAGTAGCGCATCGGTTTATAGATTAAAGCTTACCTTCCAGGGTCTGCCTGCTAGATATGAGAAATTTCTGGAGGAATGTCGAGAGCTAAATGATGGACATTTGCAGAAATATCAAAAACGATTGCGCTCCATTAATCCTCCGTGTGTGCCCTTTTTTGGACGTTATCTCACAAATATTTTGCACTTAGAAGAAGGAAACCCCGATTTTCTTCCCAATACCCAACTTATTAACTTTTCTAAGCGGCGGAAAGTATCTGAAATAATCGGTGAGATACAACAGTATCAAAATCAACCCTACTGTTTGATGGTGGATGCCAAAATAAGAGTAATTCTGTGAAGCAACATCGATGAAATTTTTGTATTTCATACATATTTTTTTAATTGCAGAATTTTTTGGAAAATCTAGATCCGTTTAAGGGCATGTCTGATACGGATATATCAAACTTTTTATACCACGAAAGCCTGCGCATAGAACCGCGAGGTTGCAAGCAACCGCCAAAATTCGTAAGTCTTGCGAAATTTTTTAAACATAATAAATGAAATATTTTTTAATTAGCCGCGAAAATGGAATTCGATAATGTTGAAATCACCGGGTATTAAACCTCGCCGTCAAAACAATAATAGTAACACAAGTCAAGTTGCAAATAACGGAATATCTGCTGTAAGCACTAGTAGCAACATTGTGAATGTTGTGCAATCATTCGGTGCGCGATCGCATTTATTCACGCCGACGACCGAAGCTAGTTGTGAACAGAGTTCACCCAGCGGCGGAAATAATGCGTCCTCTTGTAGTCAAAGTACGAACCCTCAAGCCTTTTCAGTGTTTGCAAATGTCAATATACCCGATCGTAACGGTCTGAAGTGGTCAGGCAACAGTCACACTCAACAAACAACAGCAAATGTCCAAAATTGTTCCACAATAGCAACGGCAACAATGGTTCAGCAAGACGTTAGCGTTGTCGAAGAGGAAGCGCCGATTTTACCGAAAAAACCGAATTCTGCTACAAGTTGCCAAACTTTCAATCTACCGTTTAATGATAATGTATCGACTGCACGCTTGGACTCAAGTTGGAATTTGACTGACAATTTAAACCCAGGACAATCCCAACAAGCAACAACAAATATTTACAATAATCAAGATGGCAGCGATAATGAACCACTGCCATCGCCACGGCCCAGACTGATTGTTAGTCCACGAGACGACATTAATTCTAATAGCAATCGATCTCTTTTGCAATGTACAACCTCGTCAAATAAGTCGAATAGCTGCTCTGCAACCCATTTTAGGTAAGCAAAACGAGTAAAAACCGATTTATAATTCTTAAAAAGGAAGTATTTAACCTTGCAGTCCTAATGAAAATGTGTTCACGGGCACATCCAGTCCTCAGTTTGGAGTTGAAGTGCATTTCAATAATTCAACAGTACCTGTTTCGCCTCATGTAAATGTTCCGGTTACAGCCAGTGTAGAACTGCGCACAATTCCACCACCATTGCCGCCACGTAAAAAAGAACGAAATGAAAATTGCGCCGATGTGGCACAAAAACGCCAAGCGCCGGATGCACCTACGGTGAAGGCTAAAGTTTACTGTGATAAAAAATGTAGTGTAAAAGTTGTGATGTTTTATTTGCTTATAGCTGCCGCCAAGAGATGGTGAATTAAGCCCACCTCCTATTCCTCCTAGGACTAATCAACACCATCTTCTACACCAACATCAGATAACAATTTGTAATGATCGTGGCCAAATGAATGAATTCATGGGCGCTAGCAGTTTAATGCTACCAAATACAAGCAGTATTATGATTAGGCGAAATTCAGCTATCGAAAAGCGTGCGGCAAATGTTAACGAAGCTTCAGCAATATCTTCAAAAGTTCAGCATCATTATTTATCCGCAACAACGCCTCAGCTTTGTCATTTGAATATGGGCACGAATGTTTGTTATGCTAGTGAAACAATATCTCCATCTTTAAGCTCATCAACAACCACTTCCCCAATGACCCCCATGACCCCAATATCGCCGCACATTCCTTCTAATTACCATAAATGTGATATTGGACAACTTAGCACTCCATTAATAAATAGCAACACAAGTTCCAATTCACTCATTTGTTCTTCAAATACGTCTGCACAATATCAGCCTACTCATTATCCATCCCCGCAATATCAATCTCACCAGCAACATACGTTTGCTCATTCGTCTCCCAAGGAATTTTTTCCAAACGTCGAAACATTACCTAAGCTCCCACCAAAACCAATCAATTCAAGCGGTAGCGGTAGCGTGTGTAACAATCTAGGTAAGTTTGCTCCCTTAACTGCTAAGCTAAAACTGGATAATCTGCATTTGTTTTCTTTTCCTAGAAAAAGGTACAATGTTTTCTTACCCAAGTACAAACCAAGAATAATATTTATTACCTAGCGATGTGATATGGATGAAAAACAACAAAGTTATTGGTATTCGCACTTCACATTTTATTGTATTATTATTGTAAATAAAATACACAATTATTAAGGATAGAAAGTAAATAAAATCAGTAAGAAAGCTATATTTACAAACTTAAGCTAAATATGTAAAAGTTGATAATTTTCCTTAATTTAGCTCACAAAGTTTTCCATGAAAGGATGATCTAGCCAATTAGACGGCTCTTATTTTATACAACGAAATTACAAATCAATTGAGGTGTGTTATTAAGCAAGCGTCAATTATTCGATCAGTCTTGTAAGCAACTCTTATTAAATCCCACGGATTGGTATCGATGCACAAGTGCGCAGCATAAAATTGAGCGCTTAAGATTGATGAAGTCTAATAACGTAACGTAGTGATATTGATTATATATTTGAATGAACACAGTCAATTTTCAGCCGACATTGGGCAAACGGCAGCTGAAAAAGTTTTTCGTGTCTCTTCGGTGTTAGTGGAAACAAAAGGAGGAAGAACGAGAATTTAAAGAAGGAAAAAGGAGAAAAGGAAATAAAAAAGTTTGAAAGAGAAAAGGAATTTTTGAAAATTTTTAAAAAACATACACATTAATTTTTTTCTTTTTTCGTCCGGATTTTGGGTAAGGGTTTCCGGGATAACAGCTGAAACGACGTCAGTCTCTATAGATAGAGGGTCTGATCTGATTACTATTACTATACTATAGATAGAGATGATTTTGAACATTTTTATATGAATGCCTCTGAGCATAATAAGAGACCGAGGATGGGTGGGGATGAAGTTGATTTATCTGATTGATTGATTGATCTGAGTTGATTTATTTAGAGCTGATGATTTAACAGTGCTTAGAAAACAGGTAGTTAATAAGCCTTCTGATTCGGGTGCCAAAGCCATTCCACGTTATCGTGTGACTATATTTTGCAATGTATTTCTTAATTTTTGTTGAAACTTGTGAAAATGTCGAGGGCAAGCGGATCTTTTCTTTTATGATTATTTAAAAAGTTTCAACATTAATGGCTTAGAAGAAATAAAAGTGGGTAGCAGGCGCAGAGCTAAATTGCTTTTCAAATTGTTTGCTCTGCTCTTAATGCTAACAACTTTGTTAAAAGCAATGATTTTAATAACAACAAAAATTTAAAAGCGTGTGCTCCGAGATCTTTCATGGAGCGGTTCAGAGTAATTCGCAATTCATACTTACGGGCAAGGTCCATTTGTCCGTTAAGTCTTTCAAAATGTACCTTTTGCGAATTTTATGCAAAAGATCAGCAGATTCGTCAAAATGCCGTAGTAACGTGGCCGTCGCGCTCTTCTTTTCTGCTTATGACGCCTCTTGGCTCCGAACAACTGATAATGTGACTTGTTGCGAAGTCAGCCATATAACCTAAAAAATTTAAAGTAATATCTTCTCATTATTTATGTGCTAATATTCTATTTCCAATGAGGAACAATAATTCTTGTTATTTTATTTATATAAATATTTTTTTTTTTTCGTTTGTTTGGATATGAATAAATATTTATATACAATGTTTATTTATTACCATTGAATGAATATGAAAAGTGAATAAAAAGCGAAAAAAGAAAAACTCTCTTATCAATGAAGTATGTATGTTGAATGGAATCAAGTGATGACATTAATTTTCTTTTAGTTTCAAATATATTCATGAAGTATGTATGTATATTTATAGCTCTCTTACTGCGTTTCGATCATAGTACGAAGCGCAAAAGTCGTATCTATTTCTATTCTGCTTTAATAGCCTACTTCATGAGTCTTATGGCTACAATTTTCGTCATGCACATCTTTAAACATGCTCAGCGCTGCGCTGTTGTATTTGGTGCCAGCTTGCATGGGTACGCCATTGCTAGTCGCCTTAGTTTGTGGAGACCTTACCTTATTCGCGTAATAATATTATTTTAAATGTCATAATAAATTTATAATTTTTCTATGGATGCAGTTATGAAGATCATCCTGAGGAGACGACCGAAAAGAAGGAAAACAACGACAGTGAAAAGTCGAATAAAAAGAAAGAATGTAAAAAGGCGAAATGATTAGCAGGCCAGCTAAGTACTATCGTCTCGCCCGCTAGTAATTTAAGTTCTATAAAGCCCCACAAACGCCTTCAACAGCGCCCTAATTCATACGCCTAAATTGTTCTAAATTATCCTTAAAAGTATCCAATGCATACAGAAGCCGATGTATATGGTTTTTAATATTTATATATTATTTGCTTTCAACACCAGACATATTTAAAGAAGAATCATGCTTTATATTCATTAATTTAATATGTAAATATGGCAAAGTTACATTTATCAGACATATGCGAGCAGTAGAATTTTTTTCTAAAGAGTGAATCTATTTTTTTACGCTTACCGAAGAGAAATTTTAATTTTTCGCTTATCCGCCTGCGTGGCCGAGTAGGTAAGAGTCTCGACTAGCAACTCAATGGTCGTGGGTTCAAATCTCAAGTGCGGTAGACTTAGTCTTAGAATTTCTTCTCTGGCTAAATTTATAATAATAATAATAATAATTTTTCGTTTATACACCAGAATACTGTTCTAATATTTTTAAGTTAAAAATTAAAAATTTAGTAAAAGAATAAAAAATTAATAAATAAAATAGGATCTACTGACAATTTTTAAACTTGTTGTTAAAAATCGAGTTGCTCTCCAGTTCTTAGCGTATCTTAGCTAAATTTGAAATTTATCACAGTTACGCAGCACTTTGTCATTATTTTCAGGAAGTGAGGTTATTTTCATTTTTACTAATTCCAAGACTCCACCACTCGGCCTAAATTTGTTTTGTCAATTTATCAAATTGGGACCATTGAAAGTAGAAATGCGTCTCTGCTTTATATTCAGATTGTAAAGGGAATCCATTCATTTAGAAGCAAAGTTCTAATTTACTACCTGCAGTATATTTTAAACCAGATAGAAGTTATGTTAATTATTGTTTACATAACGCTTACTTAGAGGCCGAATCTTTGGTATATTGATTCATCACCGAATTTAGTAATGTTCGCCAATTTATTTATAAGTGTAAAAGCAGTCACATGCTAAGTTGATGCTGTTGTTGTACAATGTCTAGACATAACGCTCTCAAACAAGTAATGCTCTTAAAAATAGTGACGTTCAACTACTAATAAAATGCTGTGGAATTTTCATGTATTTAGTGGAGGTGATGAATATCCACGACTGGATATCCACTGATTGGAGTGAAATAAGGCTCCCTTCCTTATTTGCTATTTTTCGATAAGAGTTTATGGATCGTAAGTGTGGTCAATCTTTTTTAAAAGAGACAGGCCCCTATTTTTAACTTCAGGTATTATTTAGAACAATTGATATGCTATTGTCCAATAAACCTTCGCTTAGAGACTAAAGAAGCAAATAACTAAAAAAAAAAAGATCTAATTAGTGAGAGTATTTTCCTTGCATTCGGTAGAATATGAAGACTTTTTAGAGAGACTCACCTGTCATGTTTAGACTTTGTATAAATCCTGCATGGCCGATTGGTTGGTTGACAATTCCCTATTCAATATCTTGCCTTCTCTAGCCATTACTTTTCTCCATTTTGTCGTTTCGCTTAAAAATTACAATAATATTTATAATAATATATACACGCAATAATAATATATATTATATATATAATAATAAATAAAATCTCGCACATGTTTTTATTAACATAGAATTCAAGACATGTTTATGTGGTGAACATATACTTAATGTATAAATGCATATATAAATATAATACACAATATAAATATAAGTATATATAATACAATTTAATATAAATATATATGTAATATAATACAGTATAATACAAAAATATTGTATATAATATAATAATAATAATTAAGAGTCCGAAAATAAGATTTATAATTATATGCGCATGTAATAATAACAATACGATGATATTTATTTATTTAAAAGGCCGGTATTTAAAAGGACGTTAGAAGAAATCTCGTTACTAAAATTCCGCACAAATTACGTTTACTAAGACAATAATATTATAATAACAACATTGAACTGAAGACATGTTCATGCATTACATTTAAAAAACATGTTTTATGTAATATTTTTTTCCCCCCGTTTCCTAAAATTTGTACAATTTAATAAAGTAAATGATACAAAACCTAACAAGTTGATTCGATGATTGCGGCCTCTAAACATTGTCGCAATACCACCAGCCTAAAATCCTACACCAAAAAACTAAAGTGGAACCAGAAACTTACACCAAAAAACTTAAATCGAAGAAGAAACTTGCAGCAAAAAACTAAAACAGGAACAAGAAACTTACATCAAAGAACTAAAAGAAGAACAAGAAACTTACACCAAAAACTGAAATCGAAGAACCAAAGAACAAGAAAATCTAAACAGGAACAAGAAACTTACATTAAAAAACTAAACAAAATCAAGAAAGGCAGCTCTGTTCAAGCGCTGTGGTCATATTTTTCTCTTTGTGAAAAAATTTTTGCAATTTAATTTCTTTATTGCGTTATACGTCTTTAAAAGTTTTCAAATTTATTAAAATTTATTGAACTTTTTGTGTGTTTATTGCGAAAAGTGTTCATCGCGGATACCGTACGTGTTTTCCTTTAAATAAATTAAAAAAAAAAAAAAAGAATTAAAAACATCTGACATTTTATTCAGTAGTTTCCCAAACCTTTTCTAGTGCGTGGTTATTTCACAAATAATAAACACTAGACAACAATAAGGCATAATGGCCCCGGGGCCGCCAGATAAAAACTCGAATAGATTTCATATATTAAGTGATATATCCCCCAACGAAAAAAAAGTAAACATTCCGATTTTCCGGTGTTGCCAATTAGCGATAAAAAATATATTGTTATTTCTTCAACCGACGCTAGAATAACAATTTCCCAAATTAGCCCTTTTGCTATAAAAAAAGCTCTAGATAGCATTACAACATACATCGACTCCATCTCGATTCTACGCGATGGGAATTTACTGGTCCTCGCTGGGAACCCGCGCGCAACCGAAAAACTC